TGCAGCACTGACAAGTTCAGGAGCCATTTGGGTTACTCTGACACAGTTCAAAGAAGAGCAAGGAGTTTTTATAGACTGTTTTGTATGCAAGTTCTAAGGATTGTTGAGAAGGAAGAGAGGAGGAGAGTGTTGAAGGCTGTAAGAGAAGAAAAGGATTGTGGATGTTTTCAGAGAAGGCAGATGACTTTGGTGTTTGGTGCTTTTGAGGTTGTTGATGGTGTTGATGGTATTGATGGTATCCAGGAAGTGTTTGAGGTTGTTTATATAGGCGTTGGACGATTAATTTTTTGATAAACAAAATCTGGAGATTTGGCCGGTGCAAGTACAATAAATTAGGACTAAATGGAAAAGATCATTTGGCCCACCATTATCCTAATTCTCAAGATTACCACATCTAGCCTTGGGTCTCATAATAGTAGTGCCCTTGGTTCCCATTGTATGCTTGTTAATAACCTACTTAACTGGAAGAGTAATTTATTGACCTAATATGTTGATTTAATTCATTATATTTAATAGATTGATCAGAGGCTTTATTAAATATTAAAATTTAGTGTTAATCAAACAGTTATAATGAAGTTACATCATTAGGTCAATAAATTAGATCAAATTTTTATAACGAAATCATATCAAATAGTTATAGTGCAAGAAGATTTGTTTGATTAGCCATTGCGAGACAAGGGTCTTTTTATTACTCGTATGTACAAAACGAGAAAATATTAATTGTAACGGTGACACAACGTTGTATTAGCGGTCCCCATTTTGCAGTTATATTCTAAAAATAAGATGTATTATGTACTTTGTTTAGGAAATCTCTAATCTTGAATCAAATTTTATTTAAATATTAGTTAACATTCGAGTAAAAAATTTGATCATATATTGAAGATTTGAGTCTCCCTTTATTTAAAGAATAATTCTATCTCGATCTAAAAATCTGATATAATTTGTTGATATAATAATGTAGTTTTAGTAAATTTATTGAATCAATACTAAGTTCAATATGAGTTTGAGTAAAATACTAGATATTATTTTAATAAGTTTTTACTTTTTTTTTTTTTGAATGGAATCAGTTGCACAAATTTTTTTTTTGAGCAAGGATTTGAGTAAAAATTCTTGATACTCTTAAAAAAAGCTTACTTTAAAAATTCAAAGAATCTAATAAAGGGTAAAGTGGGCATACTAGTAATTATGGAATGCATTTCTTTTTGGCTAAACTATGATAAAATCATGTTACAACTTAATATAATTGACCAATCACCCTCACCGCCCAAACCCTACCTAATTAAAACGATAACGTGCAACAAATTTCCATGAGAACGGCCACGTGGCAACCCCTTTATGCGTCGGTTATTTTTTTATTTTTATATTCGAATATTCATGGTCATGCTAGGGGTAACGAGGCCCCCACGTATTTAGAGGCAGTGGGGTCCGTTTGATTCTGCGCGTCCAGGTGCCGGGCTCTACACCACACCCTCTGTTAACTTTCACACGTCCCTGAATTGAACGTATGAGCAGTGCTACAAGGAGATCGAAGTGTCGGGAACCTTCCTTCAAAACCTCACTGTTTCAAATTTTTGCCACGTGGCCAAAAAGTCAGGAAGCAACCTTTTAAGTCACTGTTTGTCAAACTTAATGGGATAATATGGATAAGATAATACAATTGGACTGCAGAGTTCAAACCGACATTTTGAACTTTACCCTAAAATATAGTTTCCCTGTTTTTTTCTTTCAATGATGAGTTGTCCTGTCCTATAATATTAATTCCTTGCAATATTCCGGTGTTCGGATTTTTAAAATTATTGATTATGCTTTTTTACGGTTAGAACTTATGGTGCTTCGTTAGTAATAATATTTTCAATGTATAATAGTGTCCTCGTACATCTATATCTATATAATAAAGTAGCTTACAATTCAAATTTCAAAAGATAAAAAAAATAATTTTTGTTGTTCGCCGTTGAGATCGCTTTAAATTTTACTTTTAAAATTAATCTAACGGTTAATATTAACACCTTAAATTTAATAGGAAAAATATATCTTTAAAGGTGTGTTTGATGTGACTTTTAAAAAAGTATTTTTATAAATTATCTCATAAATATTTTTTTTTAAAAATAGCATTTGAAACCGTTTCACCACTACCTTTACCACATCACCACCACCACCACTGCCACCATCGTCGCCACAACCATAACCCCCCGGACCACCCCCACCACCTCTGCCACCACCACCACCACTGCCGTCGCTGCCACCCCTACCCCCACCATTGCCACCACTATCACAGTCTTTGTCATCTTTCACAACCATCACCGTATCTTACCACCACCTCTCACTCTCACTACAAAATGATACCACTATAAAAAAATTATTTTTTAACAACGAATTTTGGCGACGAATAATAAAATTTATTTTTAAAAAGTGATTTTCGGCGACAATTTCAAATATTTGTCGCAGTAAACTTTTTGTGATATTTTTTGTGACCATTTTTTGTAGTCGTTGTCAATAGTCTTCACAAAAACGTTCTCTCCAAAAAAAATTTGGCACCAATGTTGGCACTAAATGCTAATTTTATAGGCGACAAAAAAAAATTATTGCCAAAATAATTTTTTGGTCACAAAATATTTGTCAAATAACGAAAAATAGTAAAACAAAATTAATAATACCTTGCAACAATACATGTTTGTCGCAAAAAAAAAAGTTAAAATTTTTTTTTGCTTGACGACAATTTATATTTGATTGCAGAATATCACTACAAGAAACAAGTTTTACAACGACGACTTTTTGCGACGTGTAAGAAAAATTGTCGCAAAAAAATACATTCTATGGGTTGTGTTTGGGTTAAATCTGTCAAACCGTTTATCACACGTTTATCCGTTTAAATAAAATTAATGTAATAATAAATTAATAATTATTTTAAAAAATTAGCCAAAAAAAAGATGTAAAGAACTCAATACAAAAAAAAAAAAAAAAAAAAAAAAGTAAAGCAGTAGTTCAAAAAAAAAAAGAGGAAAGATGGGGAGCAGTTCAAAGACAAAGATAAACCAATTTCTTTTGTTTTTATCCCACATCGACAAATAAAGTGAGATGGAGAGGGCTGACTTGCCTATAAAAGGCAGTGCCCTCTTGCCTTATTTTTTAACCTTAAAGTTTGATTTTTATGTGAGATTTGATTAGAAATTCTTCTTTTTTTAAGTAAATACAATTGACAGTAAAAAAAATGGAGTATTAAAATTTTTTTGATATAATTTTTTTAAAATTAAACGGGTTAAACGAGTCGTGTCGTATTACCGGTTTATAAAATTTGTTCATGTGTTATTTGTCCTCGAAAATATATTAGTCGCAAAAAATGTACCTTGATTTTTAGCGACAAATATTATGTCATCACCAAAGAGAAAATATATGACCATAATATAATTTATTTCGGCAATGAAGATTTTTTTTGTGACAAGTAGATGAATTTTTAAACGACTAAATTTTTTGTCACTGATAATCTACTTTAGTGACGATACTTTAATTGGTCATCAAAAACTTTCAGTGACGAGCCGGTCACAACAAATTAGCAACCAAATTTTTTTGTCGCAACAAATTTTTAGCAGCGAATTATTCACTTTTAGCGACGACTTTTTTTACCGCTAAAAAATATTTTTCTTGTAGTGTACTTAAATTATTTTATCTCTTCTCTATGTTTGTAATTTGATTTTAGATATGAATATAAATATATTTATATTATTTTTTATTTTTTATTATTCTATGCCTTTAGTCATAAGCAATAACTATTTAAAAGATAAACAAAATGATTTTTCCTTTTTGCACTTGAAATCTCTTTAACTTTTACTTTAAAGTTAATCTGACGGCTAATACATCCCAAATTTAATAGAAAAAATAGGTCCCTAAGAGTATGCTTGAGGTAACTTTTTAAAAATCTTTCTAAAATTTATATTTTCTCATAAGTATTTTAAAAAAAAAATAGTGTTTCAAAATCGCCCTATCACTATAACCATTACCACCACACTCCCACCACCATTACCACTACCACCATCACTGCCACTCTACCACCACAACTACTCTCCACCGTCACCCGTCACCGCCCCACCGCCACCACCACCGTTGCACCACCATTACCACCACTCCCACAATCACTCCTACCATCACCACCGTTATCGCCACCTTACCACCACTGCAACTGTCCCACCATCACCCCCTACCATCCATCACCACCACCGTTACCACCCATGACTATAACCATAACCAACCGTCGTTGTCACTCCCCACAACTATAACTGCCTCCCACCACCAACACTGCCATCACTACAATCGGTGCTTAAAATCTTTTTTCTCCAATTTATTTTTGTAATTTGATTTTAAGTGTGAATATAAATATGTTTATTGTTGATTATTTTTTTTATTACTCTATACCTTCAGGCACGAGAAATAACTAGTATTTATATATGATATGAACAATAATATAATGGTGTAATCAATTTATCTATACTACTAATAAAAGTGGTTTAAGTGACAAATTTTTGATTTTCTTATTTATCCTTCAATAATTCTATAATATCTACTTTATCCTTCAAAAATTCTATAATGTCTACTTTATCATTTCCTAAGGAATTTTTTATTTTTTTTATTAGTTGCATTAATTCAACTAATAAATTTATTTTTGTGACTTCTAATTTTTCAAATAATACAAATTCGATCTAAATCAGATTTGAATAATGTGATCCGAATTCAAAGCAATTATCCATCAAATTTTATTTTTACAGTGTATATATGAATTTGTTAAAATAGATATCTTTTCTGATCCGAATAAGTTGATTAGAGACGATTTTAACATTTAGCACATGAATTTCTCCTCAATTTTATTAAATAATCATCAAATTACATCCTATGTTTGTAGGTATGTAGTGCATATCCAAATTCGCTAAAAAATAAATATTTGAATGTCAATACTTGTAAAACAAAATTAATTGATAATACATTAAAAAGATAAAAAATAAATAATAGCCTATTATAATAATTTTTTATTGGTCCAAGAAATCAATAGTCATCCAACTATTAATCACTTACTGAAGCTAAACATTACAGTCTTTAAATGCAATGTAATTCAGTTCATACAACCCAAAATACGAGAAAAATCTTTAGCGTAACAATTACCCTATGTTAGCAGTGTCACTTTGTATAATCATTCACTAACAAGAAAATAAGTGGACAAGTAAGTCACATAAAATTCAATAATCATCATGTAATATATAATCATCTCCATATAAATAAAATTGGTTTAATTTATCTACTTTTTCAAAAAAATAAATAAATAATAATTTGCGTGCACCGCCCACGTGCATCAATTAATAGGATAAGAAGAGGAGCAATAATAATGAATTAAAGTGAAACTCGTTATATGTGTGAGTGCTTTCAAAAACTATATGTATGAGTCGCCCAAC